CCCATCATGGGGCTCCGAGAGACTAGTCTCGCTCCGCCTGTAATAAACCGAGCTGGGCGCACCGTAAGTCACGCGCCGTCACGCACGGTCTACGTGATTCAATGTCTTTTGGAGACAGGCCCGCCACATCCCATCTCGGGCCCTGGTACCAGTTTTAAGGCCCGGGCCCCCAACACAGCGGGGGTCCAGGAGCGTCCCCCGGAATATTTTAAAAATGTTAAATCTGTATACTTAGACGCATCTTGAGGCTCCCATGACGGAGATTTTCCATCAGTTTCTGCAGAATAATAATCACGCCTTTTTTTTTTACTTTTAGCACAAAATACTTTGGGATTGTTACATTCAAAACATCTTAATTTTTTTTAGGGTGGGGGAGCAGAGGATTATTTTCAATTCTAGGGGTTCCAAGCCCCCGTGGACTCCTCTTTCGTACGTATAAGGCAAGGAAGTTGAGCGATTGAAGTCGAGGATACCCAGACTGGAAACTCTTAGCATCCAACGACGGAAGAAAATGAAACGCAGTTACTATAAATATCAATCTATACTAAAAATCTTGAAAACAGATAGAAATCTTTAAATTAGTAAGAAAAATTCTACAGGGCCCAACGTGTTTCTGAAAATTTATTCACCTTCTGCGAAATTTATAGGGTACATTTTTCACTTTTCCTTACGAGACAAAGGTTACATGTGAATTCGTAGTGGTTTTTTACCAGAGGCACGGGCCCCGGAACCAGGAACCCAGTATCCCCCCCCCCTTGTGACGGGCCTGTTTGGAGAAGGGGTACGCGAGTACCCAATTTGCTTCTAGATCCCTATATAGATCAGTCAAGTCATTTTTCTTTTTTATTGTGTCATTCGAAAGTACAAAGGCTGTCCAAAAAGTGCCGGGACTGGTTCCATGACTCAAAAATTAAGATGGCTAGAGACTTGATCTTGGTCTCATTTGAAAAATCAACTCAATAGGTATCTATCGATTGAGACCAAAATCAAAACTTTTGGTCAAGTATTTCAAGAGTTACACAGTGGGTTTTAACTAAATCTAATTAAGAAAATGAAAGTCCCCATGTCTGAAAGCGGAAAAGTACGTCGAAACACCTCAGGAAAACATCCCCGCTGAAAAGAAAATCATTCGTTGGGCCGTTTTTTTTGTTTTTTTTTTTGCCCCCCCCCCAAGCCAAAATGGCGGCCGATGTGCGCCGCCGCGGGGTGCAAATGTTACAACTCCCTCACAATGTCAAGTGACGTTTTTATCAACTATTTAAATAAAAACTCAGAATTTCACTGTTAGAACGGCGCCAACCACACCAAGAATGCTCTATTCTTACAAATAATGTTTGACCTTCTTGCCTAGCAGGGGCTATAGTCCCCTGCTTCACAAAAAAACTAGCGCAAGAGAAATAGGAACAAAACAAAAATAATCTTCTTTGAACAGTGAAACAGTGAAAACAGTGAAATTCTGAGTTTTTATTTAAATAGTTGATAAAAACGTTACAATCAAGGTGCTAAGGGACAAATCTTACCTTCCGGCCGACAGGGACACAGTTTGGATCCCAGTTTCTGATCATGTGGTCCAAAAAACATGTAAAAAGACACCTCACTCGACTACACGCGTCTTTCGGAAATAATATGTCAGCCCCAAAATGGAAGCCATTTTGGATTTAAGGGATCCCTGTCGGCCAGAAGGGAATTTTTGACCTCAAATTTGGATCCTATGACCCAAAAAACATAAAAAAAGACATCTCACTCGTCACCAAAAGCTGGAATTGAGAATTTTTACTCCGGGGCCTATGTTTGGCCGCCATCTTGAATTTGCGCGATCCCTTTTGGTCGTGAGGGATTTCTGACCTCATATTCGGATTCTACGACCAAAATTACATAGGAATCGATGTGTCACTTGACATTGTGAGGGAGTTGTAACATTTGCACCCCGCGGCGGCGCATATCGGCCGCCATTTTGGCCTTGGGGGGGGGCAAAAAAAAAAACGGCCCAACAAATGATTTTCTTTTCAGCGAGGATGTTTTCCTGAGGTGTTTCGCTGTACTTTTCCGCTTTCAGACATGGGGACTTTCATTTTCTTAATTAAGATTTAGTTAAAACCCACTGTGGTTACGACCTGTTTGTAAAAAAAATATCTGGACCCCCTCCCGTTTTTATCGACCGTTTATTCTTACCTTTTTAACCTTCGTCTTCACTTGCGCCTGAATGGTGTACCTAGGTCCTCCTTTTCTTTTTCAAAATATTTTCCATTAAACTGGATGAACTTTTCAATTCTCTCTTTCCACTTGTCTAAGATAGTTTTCTTGAATTCCTTTGCAGGTATTGTGGTAATATAAACAATTTCTGCATCTCCGTCTTGATTTCCGGTCTTGTTTCAAATTTCCGACAGCAAAACGCTGTTTTAAGTTCCGGAAACAGCCAAAATTACACGATGCTCAATCAGGACTATACGGGGGGTGACGAATAGTTTTTATTCCGTTCTTATTCATGAAATCGCTGGTAAAATTGGATGTATGGGGTCTGGCATTATCTTGGTGAAACATCCACGTGCATGACGGCCTTTAGATGTGGCCGTTATTGCGCGCGATATGCTTTCTGAAATCCCTCAGAACATCACAATAATACACACTGTCGACAGTTGTTTTTTCGGGCACAAAATGTTACACGCCTGAGTCAACAAACATAATAATAATAAGCATTACTTTACACGCGCGCAGATTTCTCGTGCATCGTGCACTGATCGTTAATTTAGAGAAAGCTCTCGGCAAAGAGAAAATACTCACCAAAAACGATAGGGTCCAGGTATTTTTGTCATGGGAACGGAGTTCCCCATGATATTACTATCGTTCCGTTGCTATCGCTATGGGATTCCCTATGCCTCTGCGACCTTGAGCGTTTCGCCCAGTCTTCGATTTTTGGTTGATTTTCCGATGTATCAAAAACCGTTATATTTTTTAGCCAATCATGTCTCTACGTCAAGTTGTGTTGATTTCTAAAATTCGCTTTCAGCGAGTTTTTTTCCACCTTGAGATGTCGTGTCTGACTGGTAAATCTGCGCAGAACCACGAAGTTCCGATTTTGGGCAAATTCTTTTTTTTGGGAGGTTCTGATTGGTTATTTTTCGCCATCAGTTTTCTGTTCGTTGGTGCAAAAGATCGCCTACCTCGTTGCTCCTGAGAAGCCGCCATTATCCCACCTCAAATTTTACAAATAGAAATAAAGAAATTATAACTATTGTGCAAGGTGGAAAACTGCTCTGGAGGACCCGTTACGGATATATGAGCCAAAATCGGAACTCGATTGATTGATTTATTCCATGAATACAGAAATACTGCCTCAGCTTACTGCCGCGATGGCAAATGCATACTGAGATGAACCTTGAGACACATGATAGCATAGGCAAACAATGGCTCACAGAGAAAGGCGCTTAGCTCATTTCTCCAGAAGCTACGAAGACGCGAATCGCTCAAGGACAACTCTTGTGATAAGTCCCGCCCATCGTCCGAGTCTTTTAAATGCTATTTTTTCTCGTTCTGTCGCTGCTCTGTGATAGCCTAGTTGACTGAGGCGCCCCATATTTTTGATAAGGTGCGGGCAATAGGTGATCGGGAGTTCGATACCCGGCGATGGGAGTTACTTTTTAATGGTTGTATTGAATGTTTTAGACCAATCATCAAAAAATAATTAATACTAGATGATAAATGGACGAACATTTTCTCGTGAGTTAATATGTTAAACAAAAATACTGGAATATACCTCCTTCATATAATCAGCCACATGTTCCCCCAAATTAATGACGTTATTTTCTTTTTTCAATAAAGTTAATTTGCATTCAACGTTCGTAAGTTAAGCAAAAAGTACCTATTGATACAAATAGAAAGACATGAAAATAGTATGTCTAACATTTCAGTTGTTTTTTTTTTTTTTATTTATTTTTTGTTTTTTTGTTTTTTCAATAAAACAAATTGACTGGGACTAGAATCATTGTATCTCTGAAGACAAAAGCTAAGTTTTTTGATACAGAAATACTAATATATTCATCCTTTATATAATCAGGGAGATGTTGACCCAAATATTGATGTATATTTTCTCTGTTCGCCCAAATTAATGATGGTATTTTCTTTTTTCAATAAAATTAATTTACATTCCACGTTCTTAAAGCAATATTTTCTCCAAAATTCAGCAAAAAATAACAATTTATACCTACGCAAAAAGTAAATAAATAAATAAATAAATAAATAAATAAATAAATAAATAAATAAATAAAGCAATGACATGAAAGTAGTATAGGTAGTACACATCTAACACTTCAGTTACATCTATTTGAATGAAAAAAATGGCAACTTAGGAAGCACATATAGGTCACTTATGATGCGTATTCGGGCATATGCGTAGAGTAAAAATATCATACTTTACGCCGAAAAAACGAAACTGAAAGTTAAATGCGTTAACTTCCAAAAACCATACATAATCCAACGAAAATAAATAATTGGTAAAAAACAGCTTTCCTGTATGCAAAGAAAAAAAAATTAAAAATGTTAAAAAAGAGATGTCGACACAAAATTACATAGCCCCTTCAATTCTGAAGATACTACAAACGAACTGTACCTTAACATTTTCATATCGCAGAAGCAAAAGTTCCCATGACGAATATTGCTATCGCTAGCGATTGCAAAAACCAACTTGTTTTTTTTACAAACAGTGTCGTAATTTTTGAAATACTTGACCGAAAGTTTTGATTTTGGTCTCAATCGATAGATATTGAGCTGATCTTTCAAATAAAATCAAGATCAAGCCTCTAGCTATATTAATTTTTGAGTTATGGAACCAGTCCCAGTACTTTTTGGACAGCCCTTGTAGTATGCGACTAATGTCATGCATTTTTTTATTTTATTTTATTTTATTTTGGATCCATAACTTTTGAGTCATAAATGAAAAACTGTTGGAACGACGTTCTTTCCCGAGCCAAACTGATTTATTATGTTTTATCATTTGTTTTCAGTATGTTTCCCGGTAATTTATTTGTGTACTTTAAATTTCACAACATAAAGTACATTGATGTTGAAACCAGGAAGTCAATTCTGATTGTTTTAGCTGGGATTATCTCAATAGGTGTCATTATAATTGGCCTTGCTCGACCTCCTCACCGCACAAGCACCTTCGATGCAAACTTAGACGAGAATTTGTCGCACAAAAAGAGAGGTCCGATCCAGGCATTAAAAAAACTATGGACCACATTCTTTCTCAAAGAAGTAGTTGCATTATATTTCATTTATGGTGCTACAGGTAATTTTCATCTGACAATGTCTGTCCTCCGAATTTTATTTTTAGCATTGGCTGGTGTACAGCATAGTGATCGATTCATTCACTTTGAAAGTCATGCCAAAAGAGGGTTATTCATGCAGGCGAGAAATGTTCCTCGCCCGGAATGTACGAAACTTTGTGGGCTAATAGCACTAGTTGAGAGAGGCATACTTATCCCTAGTCGGGATTTTGCAGGAACCCCAGTAAAACAGCGTTGAAATTTTTTAAAGTTGTAACCTTCAAACATTCATAACTTTCGCAAAAATTCAGTAACCTAGAGCTTGTATTTACACCAAAAAATGCAGAAGATTACGCTTTACGACTTATAGGTACCACAGAAATTATAATTTGAGTCCATTGTTGCCACGTTATGGCCATTCTTTTTTAAAGTTTCAAAATTATATTAAGAAAATCTCGTTACCTCTTAAAATGGTGTTTGCAGTTGGTGGGAGTTGAATAAAAACATTAGAATTATTTTTCGTTCGATTCCGCATCTATTGATATCTTATACTTTTCTGAGAGTCTTAGGGAATACGAGTTACCTGTAGCGATTTAAAAATTCGGCATCACGCCCGACACCCGATTTTGACGCTCATTCCCGGACGTTTCGCGACTCCGGGGTCGAAGCAGAACGCCTAAACGAAACAAAATTCTAACAGTCAGTTCATGTCTTAAGCTTTTTTGAAACTTGGATATGAGTTTTAGGAATTCACTTGGCGCGAGAGTAGCCGGGTTTCAATGCGATCACAATTTAAAGTATTACCTACTCATTTGACCACCTCCAACTACAGATTTCAACCTGAACTTACCATTTTCGACATGGTGTACACAACATTTCCTAATATCCGTAGGAATTCACTATAGATGTGGGGTTCGCAGTTTTCAAGAAAACCACCACCGCAATCACAAAAAAAATGTATTACCTATACTCATTTAATCACATCCAGCCACATACGTTCAGCCTTTAATGGGCATCTTTTATCGAAAGCTTTTCCGAAAATGCAGCAAGAGTTGCTTCAAAGTACGCTTAAGATGTAATTCTTCTTAACTCGAAATTTTCTTTGTATCCTAGGTGCTTCTATAAAAATCAGTGTAAAGCTCATCGCCTTCCTTAAATTCCGTTTAGTATTCCTCAAGCTGACTTCAATACCACTTTTGCACACCATAGTGTTTCGATCTGTACAAAAGCTATCTTACTAGAGGTGCAGGGACTTTTTTTATGCGGCGCACGCTCACTTCCTTTTTAGGTTCCTTCTAAACATTTCAATAACAGCTCAGAAATGATGATTTTGGGTTTTTAAAGGACAATACTTACCTGTTTTCAAAATCGTAGTAAATTTCTGTGACCCAAATGTCTTCTATATTTCTCAATATTGCAAGAATTAAGTAAATTATGCAACAATGCTTATTGCAGGTTTGCTACTGGCTTTCAACCATGTTGTCAGTGCTAGTATTGGCTTCACACAACATTTTGGAGACACAAGGAAACGCTATGTGCCTCTGGCTGGGTTTTTCTGTGGACTTGGTGGCGTAGTAGGTAAGGAAAGTCTAACTGTATGATTTTATCCCCAATTGGCTCCCATTTATCCTGATTCACAGAATTTGATCCTCTTCAGGCCTTTTTAGAGTGAGCTTGGCCCGTTTTATCTCAGATCATCCCAATTTACTATGAAATACCCCTCTTTATCCTTTTATGCCTCAAATTTTCCCTATTAGCCCATACGCATCTCAATTCCTCTCAAAATGTAAGTATCCCTATTCGTCTGAACTATTCTCATTTAAAACGATCTATCTTTGATGTTCCTGATTCATCCAAAGAAACGATTCATCACCCTTAACCTACTTAATGTATACGGATTCTTCCAGTTCTTTTCTATTTAAGAAGATGCCAGTGATGTTCTCTTAAACACTAAAAACTCGAGGTGATTCTGAAATATGCGTCAGATACGTCCGTTGTACAACGAAAAAAAAATACAATATTGGTTTTCTATTTTTCAAATATCCATAGAAAGTTCTTGAATTTCACTTTATATTCAGGAAAAAATGATTTACTTAGGTAAATGAGCACTTATTATTATTTTTTTTTTTTTTAAGGGGGGGGGGGGGGGGGGAGCGATTGCAGTAGACGTTCTAGAAACAAGGATGGATTCAGCATTTGGTTGTGGAGCCTCGGATACATACCCATAAAATACCCTGGCACACCCTCTAATGTGAATCACTTTTCAATAGATCTTAATTTCATGCCAGCCCAAGTAGCAGAACCATAGAAGGAAAAGATAGGTAAAGATTATTGCGAAAGTTAATTTTTTTTATATAACGCATGCATACGAAAGTGTTAAAAGTGAACATTATTATGTAACCATTATGTAAAAAAAAGTCATAGTTTTCGTGAGCTTTTCGCAAACATACTAAAAAATCTTCTAATTCACGAAAAGCTCACGAAAATGATGACCTTTTTTTACATGATAGTTACATAAAAATGTTCACTTTTAACAGTTTCGTATGCATGCGTTAAACATATATATATAAAAAAAAAATTGTCTATAAAAAAAATTACCTTAGGCATCTAGATTTTATCATTTTTCATATATTATAGTCAGGTCTGAACTTTGATTTTTTATAAAAGCGTTATATGTTTTTTATATGAAACTACCATTTAGATAACAGATATGTTTTTTTTATACTTTTTTTAGAAAAACAATAATTTGTTTTGCTACTAGGGAGTTATCATAACCTCTTTATGGCAAGTCTCAGATACTTCCTTGATAGTAAAAGGTGCAACATGCAACTATTCCCCTGTGGAAATCGAGATTTCCCAGAGTAATATTTTGTCTGGAAATAATGCATCTTGATACGTATCTTAGGGGACATTCAATTACGCAAGGCATTTTTGCCAAATTTTTGGCCCACCTTCCCCCTATAAGGCACCCGTAGCATAAGAAACCTTTTTCAATCGATAGGTCAAATCTTACGTAAGATTGACCGGGACCCTCCCCCCCCCCATTTTTCAGAAAAAAAAAACCGGTGAAAGCCAGGTAAAATAGCTGGAATAAAGAGCGACGCCAAAACCAACCGTTTTTTGCACAATTTGGGCCAGCGGGGATTTTTCTGAAACCGGGCCCAAACGATACCTTATGATACCCTAAAACTCTGGTTAAAATTTTAGCTTGAGTATACGCACGGTTTTTGAGAAATGAGGGGGCAAAGTTGCCAAATCGCCATCATTCTGGACAGCATTTCTACAGCAAAAAGACGGGAAAATGAACGAAAAAGGTACACCTTAGATGGGTTTCGGCTGTAAATGTTCTTATTGGGCCCCCAAGCATTTATCTGTGTTCAGTTTCAAAAACTTTGGTCGCACAGTGATCCAAAATGGGGAGAAGTCGTCGACAAATCAGGATTCTTTGTCAAATATTTAAGAATGGAAATAAAATTTTCGGTCTGCTGCAGTTTTCATGGCTATAACAATGTTCTTATCGGTCCTCAATGCATGAAATTGTGTTCAGCTTCACAAATTTACATAGCACAGTGGTCAAAAATGGGGGAATTAGTGGACAAATTAAGATCCTCTGTGAAACTTTTTAAAATTGAAGTGAAACTGTTGGTCCTCTGTAGAGTTTAGATCCCGGAAAAATTCATGTATTTAATTTTTTTAATCATTACTGCATGTCAGACCGTATTGTTTATAGAACGTTGCTATAAAATAGACTTTGTAGCATTATCTCAATAAAATATGCAAACTTTCAGAACTTAAAAAAAAGAAGGAAAAATGGAGAGAAAAAATTAAAAAAAGATTTAAACAGTCCAAAAAAGAATTTAAAGAATTTTTCCGGGATCTAAACTCTACTAAACTCTACTAAACTCTACTCACTTCAATTTTAAAAAGTTTCACAGAGGATCTTAATTTGTCCACTAATTCCCCCTTTTTTGATCACTGTGCGATGTAAATTTGTGAGGCTGAACACAATTTCATGCATTGAGGACCGATAAGAACATTGTTATAGCCATGAAAACTGCAGCAAACCGAAAATTTTATTTCCATTCTTAAATATTTGACAAAGAATCCTGATTTGTCGACGATTTCTCCCCATTTTGGATCACTGTGCGACCAAAGTTTTTGAAACTGAACACAGTTAAATGCTTGGGGGCCCAATAAGAACATTTACAGCCGAAACCCATCTAAGGTGTACCTTTTTCGTTCATTTTCCCGTCTTTTTGCTGTAGAAATGCTGTCCAGAATGATGGCGATTTGGCAACTTTGCCCCCTCATTTCTCAAAAACCGTGCGCATACTCAAGCTAAAATTTTAACCAGAGTTTTAGGGTATCATAAGGTATCGTTTGGGCCCGGTTTCAGAAAAATCCCCGCTGACCCAAATTGTGCCATTCTTGGCGTCGCTCTTTAAGGCTTTTGTAAAGGTATTTTAATGAAAATCTATACAAAAACGCAAATAATTGAAATTTCATTGTCAGGGTGTTTACCAGCTATAAAACCCAAAAATGGGGACTTTCGGGAGCTTTTAGTGGTGTTTTTTCAAGAAAATCGGGGACTTTTTTCCTGATATAGTAAGAGGAAGGGAGCTATTTAGAGCGTTCAAATGCGCATTTTATACGACACTAATATTACAAGTCATGTTGAACCGATGAAAACACACGAAAAACCAAGCAGTACGTTTTTGGAGCGGAAAGCTTACGTGAGACTCGGCTTGACACCCCCCCCCCCTTCGTGGGGCTCCGTAAGACAGCGGGACCCCCCCCCTCCTAAGTGTCTTACGTAATACTTGAACGGCCCCTTAGTGAAACTTGACACATTTTTTTCCTTCATAACTTTTATTCTCATGATTTCATTTTTTGGCTAATTCATATTCAATATGATTAGGTGGTTTTACTGTATTGTTAAACTTAATTTAATAATAACTTTGCAAAGTTACCCAATGAATGTATTCATTATGTTTTTGTCTACTCAGGTGCAATTTTACCATTCTTTGTAACAACGAAGAAGAACTTTCTGTTTTTGAGACCATTAACATTCATCGCCATGGTCACTATCATTTTAGGCTTATTACTTTCCTACCTTGTGTTACCAGAGGACGCTTTATTCGGAGATACCACGACCCGTCCGTTTGTCGAATCAAAGTAAGTTGGTCTTGTAATATTTGAGATGGAGTGAGGCAAACAGGCCCTTAAGGTGGAAAATATAACATGCCCATATCAAAACTTAGAATCGTCAGTTCTTTATCATTTAGCTCACCCAAGAAGGACCCCGCACACTCCTGAAGTATGGGAAAGTGCACCACGGTCGATTTTTAATTTTTTAACTGCATTCAAGTCATCTCAAGACGCTGATCAAAAGTGATTCTTGCGCCAACTTTCTACAATGCACTGTTTTTGCACAATACGCGCAGAACGCTTCAATTATTCGGCGATAGAGAGTGAAAAAGAACAAGGCATTCGACAACAGGTGTAATGTGAATAAGGAAAAACGTATCGTGTCTGTCTTCTTATCTATTCCTACCTACTCTGGGGCTATCTCCCTTCTGCTCTCGTCCGTTTGACGTTCACAGTTTCTCTCCGACTTTCCTGTTCTTATGCTCTTCACGAATCTGATTTGGATGGTCGAGCAGAAAAGATGGTCGTGTAGAATCCGAGATAAAACTGCCGCTCTCTGCTGGAGTTCCCCTGATTTCCTTGTTGACACACAGCCGATCTTTCGTTCGAGTGCTGAAATGAGGAATCTTTCTGACTCTTCGCAGAATAATTGAATTGTTCCAGGCGTATTGTGCGAAAACGGTGCATCGTAGAATGTTGGCGCGATGATGACTTTTCATCAGCATCCTGAGATGAGATGAATGCAATAGAAAAATTAAAAATCGATCGTGGTACACTTTGCCTTAAGGAGTGTCCGCACTATATACGCCCTTTCAGATTTGGACCCTTTTCAAGTGATTTTTGAAGACGAAAAATGAAGAGTTCGCAACGAACGCTAAAAATTTGCTTCTGTTGTCAGCTTTAGCGATGATACTGTTTCAATGCTCATAACATCATTAGTTTAAAATTGTCCAAAATCGCAAGAGCATATTAGAAAGCTTTTTAAAACCTGATCTAAATTTTTTCTACTAAAAAATTGTTTTTTTCTTCCTTTTTCCCTTCCTTTCTTGCTTTCTTTCTTCTTTCTTTCTTTCTTTCTTCCTTCCTTCCTTCCTTCCTTCATTCTTCCTTCCTTCCTTCCTTCCTTCCTTTCTTTGCCTAAATTTTTTTATGTTTTGTGGCGTACCTCGTCGGAGACCCATTGTGTAAAATTCACAAATTCCGATTGTTCTATTTCCATTAAAAATGATCTACAAAAGCATAAAAACACAAAAACTTGCGACCTGCGGGCAATCCGAGGGGCGTAGGTGACCTTGAGACTCGGAAACATACACGGTTCCCGCCCGCCGCGTCAACTTTGAAGACTCATTTTAACTCCGCTTCTAATCGTTTCGTCAAGATGAACTCGGGCTTGTTTTAAACCTTACCCTGGTAAAAATGATCAGTTAAAATTTGAACTGATATCGGTTGATATCAGTTCAGCACCAACCGATATCAGTTGATTTCAACTGATATCAGTAGAGCTTCTACTGATATCAGTTGAACTTCAACTGATACCAGTAGATGCTCAACTGAGCCCGGACTCCAGTCAGTTGAGATCCAATTGGTACCAGTTGAGGCCGGACTCGAGTCAGTTGAGATCCTTGGTATCAGTTGAGGCCGGACTCGAGTCAGTTGACATCCAACTGGTACCAGTTGAGGCTGGACTAGAGTCAGTTGACATCCGACTTGTACCAGTTGAGGCTGGACTCGTGTCGGTTGAGATCCAAGTTATGTCAGTTGAGGCCAGACTCGTGTCGGTTGAAATCGAAACTGTTTCAGTAGTGGATCGATTCGGCATCAGTTGCGGGAATAGGTTTAGATTCAAGCATCCAATCACAGTACAACTGGATTATGCCTTTTAAATTTGCTATTTTCCGCTATAGGGCCGTCCTATAAAATACGTAAGGCACTTTTTCCAGTTTTAAGACCCCCTCCCTCTCGAAAGGAATTTTCTGCCCCTCGGCCACCTTACTTCAACAATATCCCTAAGGCAGCCTTTGACACCCTCCCCCACTGCCTTGCGTAATTTGTGGACGTAATGGGCCCTGCAGCGGAAACCAGTGGTCTCCATTTTGAAATCTCTTAAAAATGAGAAACTTTTTTTTTATTATTATTATTATTATTTTTTTTATTTTTTTTAAATTTTTTTTTTATGAAGTTTTCGTATAGATGAATGGCTAAGTGCAAATTGCCTATCCTCCTTTTTGAAGGGGCTAAAATCAATTCGTTGGAAAAAAATTGCAATAGATATGGTACAAAAAATAGTAATGAATGTCAATGTTAGGTTGAATCGCAGGTTCTTCACATTTGTATGTAAATGAGCCCCACTTTAAAATTAATTTGATAAAGGATGGCAAAAAAAAGAGAAACTGAACCAACATTGTACTTAAGGTGATTGCAAATTTTACCGCAGAAAATGACTGTCAATTAGAATTTTTGAATTAATATTGGAGATACCCCAGTTAGAACAAAATATTTTGAAAATATTTTAGAAATACTGCCGTTGTTTGGAAAATATGTTCAAGAAAATAATTCCACGAAAATACTGTGAAAAAAGTTTTACAATATCTTTTAAATCAAATTTTTAAAATATTACAATTAATTATTTTTAAAATATGTTTGCAATATTTAAATGAAAATGTCTTTGAAAAATAGTTTTAAAGCAATTACTAAATATTTACATTTTTAGTTGTAAAAATACTACAAAATATAATTTTAAAATTATTAATAAAATATTATAGAATATGCGCGCGCTCTAGGAGCTGTTTTTGGTACGTATGTTCTTTTCTGATAAGATAAGATATTTTATTCAAAAAGTAAAACATAAAATAAAGAACAATATTAATCTGCCCGGCAAATTGTGATGCCCAATTAATCTGCCGGATCAGACATAAAATTAAATTCAACTGATAATAAAAGAAAAAAGAAAGGGGAAAAAAAGAAAACACACAAAATAATAATATTAATAATAATAATAATAATAAAACTGCAGGGAGGACTGTCTATGGTCTGGGGTATTCACGCACCTCCAGTCCCGAGTCACTTTCTGAGCACTCCCTTTGTGCCAGGAAGTACTTCAATAAAAAAAAACCCAACCCGGGGTGTAAGCAAACCGTGCCCATCGGGTCTCTTGGCATCGGGTGCTTCTGAAGGTGTCTACCCACGGTGCCCTGGGATACCGGGCGACCTCCCAGAGTACGTAGCCTTACCCGGCGAAGAGGCTGCCGGGCGGACCGTCCAAATCCTCCTCTACTCGTGGGAACAACATGGATTCCAGAAAAATTACTAAACAACGCAAGAACTCTCAAATCACCCTAACGAATAGGGATAGAGATGAAGAGATGAACAGACCAACAAACTCGAGAACAAACCGAGCGGACCCAAGAAATGTGCCTACAAACACGCCACAAACTCTCAGCCCGACTCAAGTACAACCTTTGAGTAGCCAGCCAGACTCTCAGCCCAACCATACAAGGGCGCGAACAAAATGGAGCGAGGCAGAATACAAAGAAGTCATGTGGTGCTACCTCTACATCAAAGGAAGCACAGGCAGCTGCAACATGAAGTCCATTTACAATCTCTGGAGAAAGAGAAACCCAGCTACCCGTCCTTATATTGAAGCAAATAAACTTGCAACCCAACGCAGGTACATAGAGAACCAAAAGAAACTGAATGAGATGCAACTCTCCGAAATCAAAGCAGACGTCCGTCTCCACCTTGGACAGACATCTCAGAGCCCAGAAAATGAGACAGAACGTTCGCAAAGCAGCTCAGCCAACCAAAAAGATCCAGAGGATGAGGGAATATCGTCTCAAGTAGCCCAATCCTCACAAAGAATTAAATGGACTCAAGAAGAGTACAAAGAAGTCATGTGGTGTCACTGGTATACTAAAGAAGGTACAGGCTTTTGCAACATAAAGGAGACGTACGATTTATGGAGAGCTAGGAACCCTGACACCCGATTACACATCAATGCGAATAAACTAGCCACGCAGAGAAGATACATAGAAAACAAAAGGAAACTTAGCGATGAGTTGCTTGAAGAAATTAAAGCAGATGCTATTGCCACACTAGAAGCATCAACTGAGGAACATGCCGGAGAAGCCCCCCAAGTGGCACCTGATGCACTGGATGATATCCTATCCCAAGACATCCTAGCCGAGCTAAACATCTCAAACCAAGCGTCACAAACTCCTCCTGGAAACCAGCAACCTACGAGCGATGAGCTGACAGAGACCAACCCTGAGCCGTTAGCCCCAACGCCAGAACCCAAGTCATCACAAAACGAAAAGCCAGAGTCACCAATTAGGAGACTCTACCAAGAAGTACTGGAGATGACCTTAGAGGAAAGAGAACCGATCAGAAAACTGAACGGCGCAAAAAAGGAGAAGGAAATCCTTGCACGGGCCAACAGTGAGGTGAAGACTATACTAGAAACCGAACAGGAATTGGACCTCTGGAAAATAAATTGCTTACTCTACGCGGCAGCTCTAACAGTCAGTGATGAAGCAAACAACCCAAGACCAGTAAAAAAGAACAACGCGAAAGAAACGAAACCCCTGTGGCAAAAAAGGATCGATAACAGAATAAAAGAGCTGAGATGCAACCTTTCAGTGTTAACTAATTTCAAGGAGACTAGCAAGTCTAACGAGAAGCCAATGACACAGCGAGTTAAATCAATACTAGAAAAATACACTGACGAAGGAGAAGAATACAATATTGACAATGTAGCCGAGCAACTTAAACAACGCATATCAGTGTTCAGCCAAAGGATCAGGAGATACAAAAAACGATCTAACCAATATAGGGAAAATAGGATGTTTGTAACTAACTGTAAGAGCTTCTACAGAAAAATCAAAGGGGACGGAGCAGAAACTGGTGCAACCCCTAAGAAACAAGAAATAGAGGAGTTCTGGAAAGGAATTTACGAAACTCCCACAGAGCATAACACCGAAGCGGACTGGATTAAGGATCTAAACGTCGAACATCAGATGGAATGGACTCCC